CTCTCTATTCTCTATCTTTATCTTTATTTATATTTTATAGCTTATAGTATAATAGAGATTTAGAACTTATTAAGAATATAAATAGTAGCTTTAATCTAATATTAAAGCTATACTAGTACTAGATAATTTTTTAACTATATCTCTACTCTTTTAGAAGTTTTATTAGTAGTTAGTAAGTATATCTATGTAAAGTAAATTCTATTACTACTTATATTATCTATCTTTATTTTTATATATATTATATTCTTATACTATACTATATTACTTATTTAAGCTTTTTTAGACTACTCTAAGACTACTATAAAAATTTAAGATTCTAGTTAAGCTATTTTAGTAATAACTATTTAAACTATTATTAAATCTATTATATAAATAAAATCTAAAGTAAGTTTATACTAAACTTAAGATACTTTACTTTTTAGCTAATACTAGAAAGTATTAACTAGATTTTTTAAAGTATAACTATTATATAGACTTTAAACCTTATACTAGTCTACTCTTTTTACTTACTTATATAAGTATAGTCTAATACTTTATTCTATATATAATATATTTACTTTTATTTAGAGTTTTAGAGCTATAGCTTATACTCTATACTTATTATATTACTTCTATCTAAAGTATTAAAGTAGCTTAATATAATATATTATATTAGCTTACTACTACGCGCTTATTATTAAAACTTTTAAAGTTTCTTACTACGCGCTTATATAGTAAGTTAACGTAATATATTATATTAATCTACTACTATAGCTCTAAAACGCTAATCTTTATAATTACTATAATACTTATAGTAATTATATTCTATACTTAATTAGATAACTACTTTTAGTTTACTAATTAGTAGCTACGTTTTTATTTAGTATAAGTTAAGTATATATAGCTTTATAAGTAGAGTAATTAGTAGTACTCTTAAAGTCTATCTTACTTATTTTATCTTATATTTTAAAACTTCTAATACTATTAATACTATTAATACTACTAAGAATATTATACTACTACTTTAAAAACTTTTAATAAGTAGACTAAAATTTCTTATTATATTTTATTATAGCTAAGCTTTTAAGTAACTTACTAGTAATATTTAAAAGTATTTTTATAAGCTTTGTTAATTTTAAAAAAAGAAATAAAATAGTTTTTTTATTACTAGTATTACTTTTTCTACTTAAAGTAACTTATCTATTATTAATACTATCTAAACTTATAACCTTTTCTCTAAGATTAAGTTTAAGATAGCTTTATTTATAGAGATAAAATTAGCTATTATATACTAGCGTAAAGCGTTTATTAGAGTTCTTAGCTAAAGTAATAATAAATAAACTAAAAAAAAAGATTTAAAGTCTACTTTTAGTATAATAATACTCTTAAGTAGATAGTAGCTATATTAGTATTTTACTTTTATACTTACTTTTAGAAACTAAGCTTTAATAGAGTAATTAGTTTTCTTAGTCTAAGTTATATTAGATTAATAACTAAGATTTTTATATAGTAAGATATTAATAATATAGATATTACTTAATATTAGATTTTCTCTCTTAGTAATACTTTAAAAGTAATATATTATTAGTTTATTACTTTACTTATAGAGCTATATATACTTAACTTATACTAAATAAAAGTAAAGCTACTAATTAGTAAATTAGAAGTAGTTATCTTATTAAGTATAAAATATTATTATAGTAAATATTACTATAAGTATAGTATATTAGCGTTTTAGCTCTACTATAGTAAGTTAACGTAATATATTATATTAAATTACTATAGTAAGTAAAAGTAAAAATATTAAAACTTAAGATAGCTTTACTTATAGTAGTAACTTAATAGAATATATTATATTAATCTATATATACTATAAAGTATAATATATATAATATAAGATAGAAGTAAAAAGATTAAAATAGAAGTAATAATATTATATATAGTATAAAGTATAAAACTATACTTATATAAGTAAGCTAAAAGAGTAGACTAGTATAGGCTCTAAAATCTATATAACTACTAAGCTCTACTAAAATTTAGATAATACTTTTTAGTATTAGCTAGAAAGTAAAGTATCTTTAGTCTAAAATAGACTTACTTTAGATTTTATTAAAGTCTTAGTACTAATAGTAATTTATACTAAATATATTTAAATTTAAAATATACTATTAGTTTTAGAGTAACTTTAAAAGTAAAGTATTTTTAAATATTTTTTTACTAAATAAAGTTTATAAAATTAGATAGAAGATACTAATATATTACTATAGTATTATATACTAAATAAATATTAATCTTATTTAGTAGTTCTAAAAGAGACTAGCTTAAAGTGTTCTAATATCTTTAAATATATTTTTATATTACTATACTATAAAGATAATTAAATTAGACTTAAAATACTAGTAATATTACTTTTAAGATAAATAGTAATTTAATTTTAAGATTCTACTTAAAATAAAATATTTAAGTATAAAGACTTAAAATAAGTAAGCTTTAGTAAAATACTAGATGTAGGAAGAGAAAGAGTTGCAGGTAGCTGCAGAATGTCGCGCACGTGGATGCCAGGATCGAGGTTCGTTCGGTGTCGATCCAGACCAGACGCTAATTGCAGAAGCTAAGTAGCTCAGAACCCCAACTGCTAGTCCTCACCTATGTTCCTGCATATCGCGATTCTTTAGTTACAGCGACCCGATCATGTCGAAAAAGGTAAGCTGTTTTTCGCAGATGTGCTGTCGCTGAGATGCACGCTAAGCCACACGCAGGGAAGCGACACGCCTTCTTCCATTCGGATCCGCGAGAACCAGCGGCGCTCGCGTAATCAGCGGAAAGAGCTCATCCAGGACCTGCAGCGACGCGTGCAGGAATATGAAGCCAAAGGCATCGCCGCTACCCAAGAGATGCAACGCGCAGCTCGTAAGGTTGCAGAGGAAAACGCGCGTCTGAAGAGCTTGCTGGCCAGTCGTGGCGTATCGCACGAGGAAGTGGACGCGTATCTACGATCCTTTGATGCGCCAAGCGCCCCAAGTCCCTCCGCTGCCGCGCTGTATGCTCAACCAGCGATGCGACCTCAGGTCTCACTTACTCCCGCGCAAAGTCCTGTCGGATACGCGACGTATCCTGTCTCTCAGCCTGTTGTACGGTGTCCGGCGCAAGCTCCTGAGCCAGCTCCTGCACAGACCCCAATCCAGCAGCGGCCGCACCCACCAACTCAACATCATGCACAGTCCTTCCCGGGCACCCACCATGTTCGTCAGTCATTGGTAGGAGCCATTCAAGACGCAGCATGTATGCCCGAGAGAGCGAATGACACGACCAACTCGCCGTCTACTGCTGCGCATGAGCCTGTTGCCATGGTAGACCAGGAGAAGTCATCTTGCTGCAAACCACCCGAGACACATATAGCCGTCGATTCTCGAGTAACAGAAAGCTCAATGACTGATCAAAGCGTAGCCTCGTCCCGCAGCGTCGCAGACGATGATGATTGTCCTAACACTGCGAGTTGTTTTTGTCCACCCACATCTGCGCCTCAAGCGAAGTCGCTCGACAATGGTTTGCTGATATCATGCGAGACCGCTGCCACCATTATATCAGAGATGCGTGGCGACGGTGATAGACATCGGATACGGGCGAGTCTGGGCTGTCAGGGAGACCAGGAGTGTAGTGTCAAGAATACGCTTGTTCTAGAGCTCATGGATGAGAGATAGCTTGAAACGATACCAAAAATCGTAGTCTTGGTCCTCCTCTTGTGTAACGTCTGCTCATACGCGCAAGCAACTTCCTTTTGAGGCTGACAAATGACGTCACGCCGCGTGGCAGCCCGTCTCAACATCGTTACCCCATAATCTTTCAACACTCGCAGCCTCGACAGCCTCCACTTACTGAAACTCTTGACAATGGCGCACAAGAATGTCAATGCGAAAGTGCTTTACTCCTATCCCGTCGCGTCATCAGGTGCTGACATCCTTCCAAGTCTTCAAACGCCGAGCGGGTGCGCAACAATCAGCGTCGCAGTCGCGCCCGGCGCAAGGCATACATTGCCGAACTTGAAACGAAGCTCCGCGAATCTGAAAACGGATGTAGTCAAGACCCTACGACAGCAGAGCTCGCGAGAGCTACCCAGGAGGTTCAATCGCTCAAAAAGCTGTTGTATACGTTAGGGCTTGACGAAGCATTCCTCGAGGCTCTCTCGAGAGCCCAGCATCTCGCAACACAGTTATCAAGCAACCTAGAGAGCATCACCCACATCGGAAGTACGCCTGAAACATCTTTTCAACACATTAAATCTCTATCGATCACCGAGGTAGGCTCATACATCGCAAATGTCACCATAATTTGACGAGGCTAGTTGGACACAAGCTCTATTGTCCCCTGCCAAAAGCAAGCACATGAGCTTTATTCACCATTCGGCGCGGAGATAGACATACAGAATGCGAATATGCAACTGAACCTAGTAGATTCGTATGCGATCGACGCGTCGCCACCATGGGAATCGCATGATATGCCTGCTATCATGACTCCTCTAGCACACACCAATGGAGGTCTAAGTTTACTGAGCCCGATTCAGGAAAACTCAACTGAATTTTCGCCAGCATCGAACGGACTACCAGCGCAACTTTCAGGTTCGACGACGCTTTGCACAACCGCTTTCTCCCTCGTGCTTGCACAAAACCCCAACGGCCACAGCTCAGAATATCTGGACAAGAAGCTAAGAGCGGGCTACCGACTCAGTACGTCTCCGTTGGAAGGCTGTCGCATTCAGAATCACGTCTTGTTGGAGGTTCTTGCAGAGATTGCATGAGTGTTAATATAAGCCAACATGCTATCAGTCGAGGACATCTTGGCGACGTTTCACCCTTCGTAGCTGAAACATGAATCCACTAGCCACTACATATGAAAGGCCTGCAAAAATCTGAGTATAAAGATAATCACGCGAAGAAGAAGTCCGTCTGAGCTTGAGTGCGATTCCCTCGGAGACTGCTTCGATCAGCCAAGGCTCCTCTCGACCTTCAGAACGAGGCGCATACCTGTTGCTGGGATGATGACTGCCGCCCAGGATAGAGAGAGCAACGACTGCAGGTTCTCGATGCCCGCGACTTCGACGCAGAGCGGGCCAATTGTCTGGTCGAACATTTTGTCAGAAGAGCTGTCTGGAGTACTTCTCGGTTACGAACTTTACTTACCATCCAGAATACACCAACGATCGCGCCGCAGAGGATGGCAAAGAAGACCGTTAGTGCGTAGGATGTAGCAGGCAGCCAGAACGCAAAACATGAAAGACCGCACAGCAAGGTCAACGCTCCTGCCGTATCTATCCTGCTCCATCGATCACTCAGGATACCGATGATTGGACGCCCGATCGCTGTCCCGACGTTCAAGAGGCCGATTATATCTGTAGCTTGGGATCGCGAGAGGCCTATCGATAGTGCAAAATCGGAGAGTGAAAAGAGGAGGACGATGTATCCCAGCATGCTGATGAAGACCCATGCAAGCAGCAATACCACTTCGTAGCGCCGCAGAAGTTTGGTATCGAAGCCTAGTTGGGATGGCCGAATGGCCTTGTTCCTGTCGCGTATGAAGACCGTTGCAGTAAGATTGGCCACGAAAGCGATGATGCCCGTGATGCGCAACGCCCAACCAATGCTGAATCTTTCGATGATGGCCTCGGTGCCCCAAGTGAAAGCTGCGCCGCCGACCCCAGACCCTGCTGCACTAATCCCGTTGGCCAGGCTTCGTTTTCGATCAAACCATTGCGACAGGACTGGAAGGCAGGGGATGTATAAGAAGCCAATCCCGCTGCCGATTAAGACTCCCTGCGAGAGGTGAAGCTGCCAGATTTGAGTTGCAAATGAGGCAGCAATGAAGCCACCGAGCTGCAAGACCAGGCCGCAGCACATGACAACATGGGTTCCAGATCTGCGACAGAAGACTGTCACGAAGGGTGCCACGAGCATAGCAATGGCAAAGTTGAAGCCACCGATGAACGCATAGTCCCAGGCAGAGGCTTCGGGGAAGATGTCGTCGGCTAGGTAGTGCGATAGATAAATGCCATAGGCCTGAAGGTTGTCAATATGATGCACAGTGGAAAGAAAGTCTCTTCCAATAAGCGACCTTGACTCACAGATACGGTACCCCATGTGAAGCAGTTTATCGTAAAGCACGCTGCTACACAAACCCAGCCGTAGCCACCATCGGGGGGCGTATGCTCTGCAATGGTGGTATTCTCTCCTTCGATTACCTCATCGAGCGTCAGTGGCGGTGACACCTCGCTGTGCTGTCGGGGAATGCTGTCTTGTTTCGTCATCTTTGCGGCATGCAATCAGGAGCACGGTATCTTTCGCTACAACCGACGCCACTATATACGCACGTAGCAGATATGTCACTTGCATTTGCGGGGTGTCACCACTCACGGATGATCGACAGCACTAGTCCAGAACCGGTCGAGGGCTGTTGATACATTCAGAACCTACGCTATACTACCACACTGTATGCCAGACTCCTATTCTTTTGAGGCAATGCTGTTCTTGCATTCAAATGAGGTTCGGATTAATTCGAAGGCCCCGCGTTGGTTGACAAGGCCGCATGCTGCGTGTCTGGGGCTGGCTTGTTAGCTTCCTTCGCTTGTTTCGCCCGCTTCTCTTCTCTCTCACTGAACCTGTCGCCGAAGAGATCGAAATGAGGGCGCATCACAATGGTGTATTTGACGAACTCCTCCATGCAGTCGACAAGTCGATCCCTGTTTCCGCTGGGCATCAGCCTGCTGCCGGCATCCTCCTCTGTGAACTGCTTATATGCCATGGGTATGGAGCTCTGGTTCGGTATGACGAACATGCGCATCCATCGACCAAGTATTCGCAGGGCGTTGACCGTGTTGAAGGACTGCGAACCGCCGTTCACTTGTGCGATTCCGAGGGTACGGCCCTGGGTCGGACGAACAGAGCCGGTGGAGAGTGGTATCCAATCGATCTGGTTCTTGAAAACGGCCGTCTGAAAGAAGAAGTCTATCAGTATGACATTCACCAAGCATGTGGAGTTTCAGGACGTCAACTTACGAGAGTCCCATGCTGCTCAGGACATATCCATATATGCCCATCGCTCCACTTACTCAGTTCGCGTAACTCTTGCACTTTGGGATGTGTGTGTTGTACATCGTCCTTGACAGGCAGGCCAGTGGGGTCGTACATGCGAACGTCGCAGCCAAGGCGGAAAAGTATTCGACTCGCCTCGTACGACAGCAAGCGCGAGTAAGATCTGCCCTGTGTGAGTGTTTTTCCTTGACAGCACCCACGGCACATCTTGCTGACAGATTCGTACCTTGATCGCATGCTTCCGTGCAGGACTACCACCTTAAGCCTCTCATCTCCGCGTTGGAGCAATTGTGTGTCCACCATCTTCAGTGCAGTGCTGAGTTCTAATTCAGCCACCCAATCGTCCTCAGCATCTTTCCCCTCAAGTATGAATGGCCGGTAAGCCTTTCGAACTTCCACATCGTCTTCAGAAGGTGGTATCGCCAATGAGCGACCTTGATACGCGGGATCAATGTCGAGTTCAGTTCGTGCACGTTCGGCCGAGGTATTGTTCAGATCTCCGTTCGGTATCGTCGCCATTGTACGTGCGAATTGGAAGGAGGTGCGCAGAGGTCTGGAGGTGATGGTGCTGCGAACACCGATACTGAGGATTGAGCGGTAGATTTTCATGAGCTAGCGCATGTGGATGCGTACGAAGTGCGTCGAGATGTGAAAGTGGAATCCTATCGAGCTGCTAGCAAACTGGCATTACGTTCCTGCAAAGGTAACTTCGGAATACCGTTTATAGACGCGCAGGTAGCGGCGACACGAGAGTGCCTGGGAAAACACGTCATGGTTAACAGGCATGTCACTCCACACGTCCGATTCGTCGAGACTTCGCGGACCCTGCGTCCCAACCCCGGAGCCTCACTTGGAATGCGATGGCTTCCAAATACTGTCCAAATTTCATGCGTGATGTACCTTAGCATTTGCATGGTTCAGGTCCGCACCGCTTGCTCCCATCAGCGACCATGCACTCCACTCAGTCGTCGGGAGTTGTAGTTTGTCAGTTATTCGGTGATAGTGGACGCGAATTCGAAAGCATTGCAAGGATACTGTGCTGGAGTTGAAAACTATGGTCATGGACATGAAGGAGACGGTGTTAGTGTGCTTACACCTGGTGGGAGGTGCTGTAGTAGGGATAACGGTTGAGCACGTGGAGGGGCAGCCAGAATGCTTGGCGACGTTTTCGCTCCCGGACCCCTGCAAACGTCGTCATGCTGAAAGTTGTAACTGAGAGCATCTTACCCCCACACCACAACTGAGCAGCAACATGGAGTACGACACCTTCTCAGCCCGTGAGTATGCGCGAGCCTATGCAAGCCAAATCATGACTAATCAGCACCAGCGCAGTACAGCACCAACGACGCGACGTCGTTTGCCCACACTTCGGCGCGTTCGCGATGGCCCATCATCATCACCCAAGGCATTGACGACGTACACCGCTCTCTGCACGACACCAAAGACGAGACGGCCATCACAGAAGGCAAACAGGTTGTCGCAGAACTCGCCAAGCTGAAGTACGAGCTGCAGCACGACCGCGAGCTCACTCCAATTCCCGATGATGGCAAGCGCGACATCGAGTCATACAACAAGGAACTGGCAGCAAGAGGCAACCCCAAGTGGCACAACGTGTCTTGGCTGTATGCAGAGTGCTATCTGTACAGGTATGTAGACCTAAATCGCTCAATGGCACGTGCTAATGGCCATAGGCAGACGCATCGCAAGCATCTTTAAGCAGACCACCAAATGGCGCTCGTACGACATCTTCGCTCGCCAGAAGATGGAAACCTTCAAATCCTCTCGCCCCGCCGTCATCGAACTCGCCGCACGCTACAAAGATATTGTCACCGAGCTCGAACAGAAGAAGACAATCAAGGGTGCAGAGTCGCAGGAGCAGCTCGAGGCTGCAGAGAAGGTCCTGTTCACCGAGATGTGCGAGATCTGTCTCTGGGGCAATGCGACGGATCTGTCCTTGTTGACCAATCTCTCATACGAGGACATCCAGAAATTGCAGGGCTCTGAGGCGCGCAAGAACTCCGAGAAGAACATTCTGGTGAACGACCTAGACAAGGCGTTCGCGGTTCTCACGCGGGCCCAGAAAGAGGGCAAGAAGGAGCGTCGTGTCGACATAGTGCTTGACAACGCTGGCTTCGAGCTCTTCGTCGATCTCATCCTCGCTGGATATCTCATCGCTTCTGGCCTGGCGACGAACGTCGTGTTCCACCCCAAGAACATCCCATGGTTCGTCTCAGACGTTCTGCCAGCCGATTTCGGTGCACTCCTCATGGCACTAGCCGACCCACAGAGCTTCTACAGCGCGCTATCGGAAGACGAAAAGCACGCTGGCAAGCAGTCCGTACCGCTGTCTGAGACAGAGAGCGCGAATCTGCAATTCCTCTTCCAGCATTGGAGTGGTCTCCACGCAGAAGGCCAATTGATGATGCGACCAAACGACTTCTGGACTGCGGGCGGCAGCTACTGGCGGCTTCCCAAGAGCGAGCCGGACTTGTACGAGGATCTCAAGGAAAGTGAGCTCGTCGTCTTCAAGGGCGATCTCAACTATCGCAAGCTAACCGCTGATGTGAGTGCCCTCTTCCACATTTGTTCCTCGCATTACTGACCAACACTAGGCTGCTTGGTCTCCTACCACACCATTCACCGAAGCCATTGGACCAATGGGCCCTGGCTCAGGTCTACGAGTCCTCGCGCTCCGCACGTGCAAAGCCGACGTCGTCGTCGGATTAAAGGACGGAGAAGACGAGCGCATAAAAGCATCAGAGGGGGGCGGCGGAGACAGTGGGGCGAGAAAGTGGGCTTGGAGTGGCAAGTGGGCTGTTGTCCAATTTTCGGACGGAAAGGCCTAGTCGACCAAGCACATCTGAAGTTATGGACATGTTTGAGTGTGGATAGACTATAGACATTAAACTTAGATATGACAGAAGAAAAGTAAGTACATGACATGATTGAGCGCCGGGCTCTGTCGGCCGCGATGGAATTTTTAGTAGACGCCTCTCCTGATGTCTGAGGCGATCTGTTGAAGCTCCTCAACCGTCGGTGGATGCTTGTTGCCCTTCAACAGTTTGATCTTGGAAAGGCTCTCCATCTCTTTGATCTTCCTTGCGACGAGGCCATTTTTAGCAGGCCGTGTTTTCGGAATACCTCGTTGCTGAAGGTGCCCCTCTAAGCTGGGTCTGCCGCTGGTTGGTTGCTGGGCAGGGCGTGCCCTATCTCTATGGAGTACATCTGCACGTGCAGTAGGCTGGTCGTGCGTCTGCCTGAGCTGTCCACGAGGTTGCGAGACTTCTGCTTTCGCCGCTGAATGTCCTAGAGCCCTCAGATCTGTTACAAGTCAGTGTTGGGTCGAGGTGATGGGAGTAGACTGCGACATACCATGCAGGAGTTTGTGACCATCTGGCTCACTTCCTCGCCATTGTCCATTGTCACGCTTAGCCCACAGCCTCCTCGTCGCGTCAAGCTCAAGATGATACTCTAGAGCGCCGGAGACTGGAATGCTACTGCATATTGCTACCATGTCCAGCGTTTGGCTGTGCACTTCGGCGTCTGCATTAGCCTTCACGAGTACAACCTCTAGCGTGCCTAATGGTTCTCTCGGTTGGGGTGGAGGGGAGTCTCCGCGGCACACAAACTCCAATGAGTCGGGACGCTTCGCAGATCGGAAGCTGAGCTTGCGACGGAGGATCTTCGGCCCCGCTGGACTTGCTGAGCGACTCCGTTCTGTTGGTTGAGTTGGGGTACTGTCCTGACCAGTGATGAGGGTGGTCACTGTGCGTAGAGAATCGATCACGATGGAAGTGTCGTCCTGTGCATCCTTCTTCCTCTTAGTTGCGCTGCGTACAACTGTAGCTTCTGCGCTAGGAACTGGGAGCTGGATACGGATGTTCACAGCACGGGAGAGTGCCGACTTGACCATGTGAGGTGGCGTACTGCTCGTCCAGCATCCCCAATATTTGCCGATATCCTTCTCGCCGCTGGCATTGGCTCCGCCAATGTCAGATAGGTCGATGAGGAATAGGCTGTCGCGATAGAGGATGTCTAGCCCCAGCTCGCGCGCCTGCTTACATACCATCAATGCCGGATGCATCATAAAAGATCGGATGTCGATGGTGCTCGGGCCATGGCGGTGCCGGCGTCGTGGCTGGGGTGTGATACGCGACTGGTATGGTGTGATGGAGACCGCGCGTTCTTCAGCGAAAACGTATGACAATATGTGATT